TTCTCACATAGCCGAAGGCATCTAGAGGTCAATATTTGTCAACCTGTCACGTTGATTGAGATATGCCTTGTGAAGGCGTGTTTGTTTCAAACCGGACTTAACCGGGCCACGGAAAATAAAACTGTCCAGGTTTATTGATGCTGCGGTACAGTTCTTTTACATGGGCGAGTTTTATGCGTTTTATGTGTTTTGTAGGCTTCTGGTTTGTCGAATCATACTGCAGTTAACTATACGTATAAGTTAGTTGAGTATACTTTACAGGGCGTTGCAGAACCAGCCCCAGAATTTGTGGCTGTTGTGGTTTTTCTAGGCAAATTTTAACGTTCAGTAGTTTGCCATTGCTAAGTGAACGGTCAGCTCTTGGTACCACTGTCGAAACCAACGCAAGACAAACCCGTCCGCAGCTGGGATCGAACCTGGCACCCCGGCATTACGAAGCGCTTTCGCAACGCCTAAGCCAAAGATGCCAACAAACTATACGTATAGCTTGGTATAAAGTAAAGCACGCTCTTCCACGCCTTCATGGGTATGGGGCATATAGGGCTAGACCTGTATCTTTTAGACCAATCGGAACTGGGTGGGTGATGTAGTCAGCATCACGCGCCAGCCCACTTTACTTCTCAGGACTGTACCTGATACCCACTCAAGGCTGGGTATACCTAGGGTGCCAAGGTCATTGTTTGCGTGTGACAAAAGTATAGCCTGACATGTTTTGGGGTAATTTCTAACTTCTTTTTTCGGGGGTGATCAAATAGGTCTGAAATGATCAAAACTTAGATGACTAAACAGGCCTGGGGTGATCAAATAGGTCTGAAATGATCAAATCTGAAATGACTAAACAGGCCTGGGGTGATAAATAGGTCTGAAATGATCAAAACTTAGATGACTAAACAGGCCTGGGGTGATCAAATAGGTCTGAAATGATCAAATCTGAGATGACTAAACAGGCCTGGGGTGATCAAATAGGTCTGAAATGATCAAAACTTAGATGACTAAACAGGCGGGGGGTGATCAAATAGGTCTGAAATGATCAAAACTTAGATGACTAAACAGGCGGGGGTGATCAAATAGGTCCGAAATGATCAAAACTTAGATGACTAAACAGGCCTGGGGTGATCAAATAGGTCTGAAATGATCAAATCTGAGATGACTAAACAGACCTGGGGTGATCAAATAGGTCTGAAATGATCAAAACTTAGATAACTAAACAGGCGGGGGGTGATCAAAAAGGTCTGAAATGATCAAAACTTAGATGACTAAACAGGCCTGTGGTGATCAAATAGGTCTGAAATGATCAAATCTGAGATGACTAAACAGCGGGGGTGATCAAATAGGTCTGAAATGATCAAATCTGAGATGACTAAACAGGCCTGGGGTGATCAAATAGGTCTGAAATGATCCAAATCTGAGATGACTAAACAGGCCTGGGGTGATCAAATAGGTCTGAAATGATCAAATCTGAGATGACTAAACAGGCCCGGGGTCATCAAATAGGTCTGAAATGATCAAATCTGAGATGACTAAACAGGCCTGGGGTGATCAAATAGGTCTGAAATGATCAAATCTGAGATGACTAAACAGGCCCGGGGTCATCAAATAGGTCTGAAATGATCAAATTTGAGATGACTAAACAGGCCTTGGGTGATCAAATAGGTCTGAAATGATCAAAACTTAGATGACTAAACAGGCGGTGGTGATCAAATAGGTCTGAAATGATCAAATCTGAGATGACTAAACAGGCCTGGGGTGATAAAATAGGTTTGAAATGATCAAATCTGGGATGACTAAACAGGCCTGGGGTGATTAAATGGGTCTGAAATGATCAAATCTGAGATGACAAAACAGGCCTGGGGTGATCAAATAGGTCTGAAATGATCAAGTCTGAGGTGATTAAACAGGTCTGGGGTGATAAAATAGATTGAAAATGATCACATTTGAGGTGATCAAAAAAGTCTGAAGAGTTAAAATAAGTCTGAGGAGATAAAATCAGTCAGATTAATTTATATCTGTTTATAACGGAGCAGAGCACTCGGGACACTCCCATAGGCGCTCCATCCCCCATCTTCAGCGACAAGCGAAGAGTTCCAGTTCCGATGGCACCAATAAAAATTTGATTGTACATCTGTCTCGTCTTTCCCTTGAGTGTTGAGCGTTGGTCATATCCCCTGGTCACACCTCGCACGCAGCTCCATTCTCCTCAGACCATAATGATCTATTTGTGCTTGCGCACTGTTCACTCTCTCCCAAAGGACCCTTGCAATATCCAGCTTGTTATACATTAATTCACCACCAAGCGGTGTAGAACCAGTCAGTCTATCTGCCTGTTCGTTTATCAACACACCGGCATAACCTGAAGAAAATCTACAAAGGACGCTAACTACACTCCCTCCCCACCCCCCCCCCCACCCCCTACTATAATAGACACTCTCTGGTGTGTACCAGAGTACCAAAACCTTTTGTTGCAGAAAGAAAAAAGCCCCTGTTAATAGAAGTAGCAGCAGTAGTTGTAGTAGAAGTAGCAGCAGCAGTTGTAGTAGAAGTAGCAGCAGCAGCAGTTGTAGTAGAAGTAGCAGCAGCAGTTGTAGTAGAAGTAGCAGCAGTAGTTGTAGTAGAAGTTATAATAGAAGTAGCAGCAGTATTTAGTAATAGTTAATAATAAATAAAGCTATCATAACTGATAATATTCCTCATTGTTCTGTTTCAGAATCAAACCTGTTCCAGACAGTCTGCTTCAACACATCGCACAGGTGTGTTCCTAATCGTGTCATAATTTCAAGCCAAGTGGAATCACACTAATCTGAGACCATCTCTGAACACCCTGCGAACAAACATCTCTTGAACTTACGACAGGCTCACATTCAGTGGACAAAGGATTTGACAGAAGAATCTTTTCTGGGCATATTTTCAGATAGAATCGACACGAATCTGTCATTGGAAATAGTTACGTTTCACACTGATTGTGTTAGGTTAAGACGGAGGCTTTATCAGTTGTTTTCTGATCGCTGTTTACAAAATATCCTCCCCGCTAATTGTGTGGTGTTTTTTTTTTTTTTATCTGGTGGTACTCGCTGCATTCTTGCGATAGAATGTTGTAATTATCAAGTTGAAAAAGCAACTAAAATCGTTATTTTGTATTTACAACGACACAGGCTATTCTGTATGAGATGTATAAATCAAAAACAGAGATCTGCTAAATGATAACGAATCAAGTCTTGGTTTGTTTTCTCTTCACTTGAAAAATAATAGATACGATTTTAACTGTCACTTGGTATTTTCAGTGACGAAAACACCTCCAGTCCACAATCAATGAAGTGTTTATGGGACTTGATGAGAAGTGTTCACATGAACAAGAGAAATTGAGGGGAAAAAACAATATTTACACCCTGTCAAGTTTACACGACAAGCTGTGGTTGTTAATGCCGGACGTATAAATATGCCCCAACGTGAGGTAGAAACAGGGCCATTTGTGCGTTTCAGTGAAGGTGACACATTCCAGACTCGTAAAAACAAATGGGCTGCCGAAATTCCGTGTGCTTGTTAATTTAACCTGTTTGAGAAGCCCAAGAGAGATTAAACTTCGGGGTTGCGAGAGAACACACTGCGAGAAACCATGGCGGAACTGTAACGTTACATTTCTGGTTCATTTCTCTTGGCAATTCCAGTTAGCAAGATCCTCAGCAACAAGTAATCTACTGGTTCCGTTGACTCACTTGCTTTTTCCCCCCGTACTGCGGGAGTTCAAAAGCCCAGTGAAACTTTATCCACTTGCAGATCTTGTAGCTTACAGGAATTCAATGCACAACAAATGCGAACAAATTCTGTCTGTAAAGCCAAACTTGTAATAAAGTTACGGCTTTTGTGTTGATGATATAATGCAGGCATTTTATAGCGGGGAAAAACGAATACAGTTCATGAGCAATACAAGGTATTCGTAGTTTGGAAGGCTCGTATGCAGATTTCCAAGACGGAACAGTTTCAACAAATCGTGACTTCGAATAGTTTTATCACTGTTAATTTAGTTGGACAGCCAGAGAAACAATGTGAAATATTGTTGTTTGTGATTTTACGTTGCATTGTTACATACAAGGAAGGTAGGAGCCAGCAACAAGAAACCGTGTTAAAATTCGCCACAAATTGATCACAATCTACCTTCGAAAGATTTCTGAAAATGTTTTTGACCATGTATCATTCAGACATACAATTTGAAAAACAAAGTACAAAACGACAATTATGTTAAAACAGCACTTTCTGAAATACAGTGTTGTGGTATTTATTAACGAAACATGCACTTGTTTACTTTAAATAACAAACAGTTATCATTATCAGTGATAATTTACCAGTCCCGGTGTCCTACGGAAAGGGGCTGATACATGCAGGCCATTTAATCTCGCTAGTGTGCGATAATTTGTTAGATGCCATATTTTGTTGGACGCGCAAAGCTATAGTTGTTTCCACCTACTATCTCCAGAATTGACAAGATTTGTCTACAGATTTAACAGACTCTTACTGAAACCCGTCGGCCACGGGATCCATTTTTGAAATCAGAGAATGAGGCAATGTCGGACATCTTGGAATTTGAAAACGCAGTAGACTGACCTCATTTTAGAAAACCTTATCAGAACTGAGAAACAGCTGTAGTCTAATCATTGTTGATGATGAGTATATAAAGCGCCAAAACTGAGAAACAGCTGAAGTCTAATCATTGTTGATGACGAGTACACAAAGCGCCAGAATTGAGAAACAGCTGTAGTCTAATCATTGTTGATGACGAGTACACAAAGCGCCAGAATTGAGAAACAGCTGTAGTCTAATCATTGTTGATGACGAGTACACAAAGCGCCAGAATTGTGAAATAGCTTCAGTTTTGCTGAAAGTTCCATGCCAGAATTTGAAGAAGGAAAAAAAAAAAAAGTGTCGCGTGCTTATAGCAGCCGTCAAAACATGTAACCAAACACTCCCTGCATAGACTGCACACTTTAGCTAAGACAACAGTATGAGTTATGTCACCTTCAAAGTTATCAACGCGCTTTGTGATCTTCGTAATTGTATCGTTGATGACTCACCTGCTAGAACTGGCGGCAAGCGGCGTGTTCTGCCACACTCTGATGCAGCAGGCAGATCTGAGAATGCCCTGGTTCAGTGTTGCCGCCGGTCTGCTTATACTTCCTGTAGTGGCTATCCAGTTAGCGTCTGCTGTATTTCTCCTCAAGAGAAAAGGGGAAACCTTCACATCGTGTGAGATTGCCACTACTGCCATCCTGCATGTCCTCCAGCTGGGCTTCATCAGCAGACACTTTATCATACTTAGAGAAACGTCACTGTCTTCTAAGCGGAAGGAAATCACTGAGATGATGCTGCTACGTGTCTGTTTCGCTTTTACATCGGGCTCCACGCTCCTCTTTGTGCAGGTCTACCTCTTGTTACAGGGACCTCTAGAAGGGACGTGGATATGGACTGTTTATTTTTCCGGAGTAACGAATCTGATTTCTGTTGCCTGGGCCGTCTCTACCTCACAAAAAAGCTTGCCAGATCACGAATTCAGCGCGCTACTCATCACCTGGCCGGGATCACTTTTTAAAATATTTTGGCGCGCTGGAGAATTGCTGGCCAGAATTTTGTCCGCCGCGCTTTTCGCGTCATTGTACATGCGCTTCCTGTTTCTAGTCCTTGGTCTGCATTGGTTATCAATGCTTGTGTGCTTGTATATACCTCTGATAACCTCTATACAATGGCCGGCCTGTGGAAGTTTCAAAAAGACGCTCATTCGCCTAATGATTTCGTTTACTCATATATTCACATTCATCAACACCAGTGTGGAGAACAGCGTGTTTCGCTTTACATTTTATTATGTCATATTTTTCCTGGAAAACGCAACCCTTATTACGGTTTGGTTTGTTCAGTCATCGGCAGAATACTTCTCTAGGAACAGCATCTTTGCTTACGTAGCAGTGGTGTCTTTCATTGTGTCTGTTACCTCAATGATAATTTATTACAAGTATGTCCACATTCCCGTATCTAAAGCAAGTCCAGTTAGAACCTGCGACAACTCCTTCTGCATGGCGTGTAATCCTACAGACGGTTCTAACTGCCAGTCTGGCCCTGGACAGCAAGGAGTAACTAAATCCAATACCAGCTTAACTGAAGCTCCAATTTCCCTGTGTTCATATCAGCTGCAACAGAAGCACTATTTTGTTCAAGACGGCGCAAATGAGTGTAATGGCTGTGCAAATACAAAAGGCAGAAGTTGTCGCCACAATGGAAGTTCTTTGTCACAAAGCAACACTGAAAACACGAGCTCGTCTCTTGAAGACGACAAAAATCACAGCAACAAGCATGAATACACCGCTTTAGAACTGAAGTTCGGCTCCGCCGGAGTTCACACAGAACAAGTCAGTTGTCAGCTGTCTCAGAAACAACCTGTTTGGCTGCCAAGCGGTGACTCCAACTTCACAAATCAGCTGCTGACTTACACTTTGGACAACTTTGATGCAGCGGAGACTGCGGACAGCGAACGTTCATCCGATGTTACAGAGTGTGTTGGTTACACCAGTAGTCGTCTGCCTCCACCGCAGACTGCAGCTTATGAACAGAACTCTGTTGCAGGCACTTCTAAGACGAGCCAACAAGTGAACCAGCAAAAACCATCTCAAAAACTCACACCCAAAATTGGGCAGGCTGACGTGTACGACTCTGAAAATATGTGCTCGTGCGCCTGTTCTTGTTCATATGAAGTTCCAGAGATTGCCCCTCCAGAGCATGGCGTATCATCTGTGCCAGAGTCTCCAAACACTAGAACGACAGAGACAGTAGTTCTACCATGTCTTCAAGCAGATATTCATTGCCATCATCGTCATCATCATCATCACAGAGCTTCATACAAAAACACCAGTTCAGTTATTTTAAATGAGAATTTACCGAGCTTAGATACCGAAAACAAAAACACTAATCCATCAAAAGATGTTCACCAGGCCCAAGAATGCATATCTTGCATTCAGCCACCGATGGTTTCCGGTCCCGGCTGCTATAAAAATAAAAAACGGAAACATTCGCAAAAACGAAAATTACACATCTCAACAGTTGTGGACACGTTCACAACTCTGTCAACGTCAACAGAACAACACAGTATGGGAAGCAACCCTGCCCAAAATTACATCTGCTTACCCAGTAAAAATATTGACCTCTCACCGGCTCAGAACGATCAGTTGGCAATAGAACTGCTTAAATCATCATTTCATTCGGAGAATCAGAATCACGCAGTTGAAAACACCCCAGATATCGCATCGGTACCTACCTCAGATCCACGTTTCAGTGTTCGAGTAATGACATCGCCTGTACCTGAAAACTCCACGTGTGTTAGCCTCGTCAGTTCCAACACATCACATAAAATAATGAACACATCTCGTGACAATGTAAGGGAATATTCAGAGCCGGGACAACGAAAACACCAACAAACTGAAACAGAAAACAGAAAAACATTAAATGCGGGTAGTTGTCTACTTGCAGGCGTTGTGTCCAGGCCAGAAAATGAGTCGTGTCTAGTGGTTTCAAACAGAGTTCGAGACGAAGTCAGCTTGGATACTACAAATCGTAAAGACCTACCAAATGATCGAGAAGATAATGTCTATGAAAATCTATGGCCTTCAGAAGGAAAAAACAAACTGAAGCCTAGCAAAGGTTGGGATATTTATAGAACGGCTGACGTTGGTGCTCCTAGAAAGTTGGAGAAACGAGAAATCTATAGCGAGTCTGAGGACAGCGCACTGCCCATGGAGTTTCTGAGTTCCAGCGCTGAAGTTTTCACGGGATCCAACAGTGATAGTGATATAAGTCTAGAGATTGTTATTTGATAAACGTGACCGTGTCGTTTCTGTTACGCGTTGCTGTTTGTTTTTCTCTTTCTACTGATTACACATTATGGGGTTGTGGTGGGGGGGGGGGGGGGGGGGTCAGACAAGATCATCAAGAAGGTGAAGAAGAAGAAGCTATCAATTCGTCTGTCTGTCTGTTTTGTTTGTCTATATATCTATTCATCCATCCCTCTCTTCTACCATCTATCTATCTATCTATCTATCTATCTATCTATCTATCTATCTATCTATCTATCTATCTATCTATCTATCTATCTATCTATCTATCTATCTATCTATCTATCTATCTATCTATCTATCTATCTATCTATCTATCTATCTATCTATCTATCTATCTATCTATCTATCTATCTATCTATCTATCTATCTATCTATCTATCTATCTATCTATCTATCTATCTATCTATCTATCTATCTATCTATCTATCTATCTATCTATCTATCTATCTATCTATCTATCTATCTATCTATCTATCTAATCTGTCTGTCTGTCTGTCTGTCTGTCTGTCTGTCTGTCTGTCTGTCTGTCTGTCTGTCTGTCTGTCTGTCTGTCTGTCTGTCTGTCTAGCTGTCTGTCTAGCTGTCCGTCTGTCTGTCTGTCTGTATGTCAATCAGTCTGTCTGTCTGTCTGTATGTCAGTCTGTCTATCTGTCCTTCTATCGTACTATCCTATCTACATAGCTACATTTCTGCCTATAATCCATTCATCAACCTATCTGTCCACCTGTCTATTTGTCTGTCTTGCCAGCCTGCCTGTCTATAATTTTGTCTGTCTCTCTTTATCGTCTACATGCGACAAATACAGGAGGCAAAGCAAAGACGGCATCCATTTGTCAAATATAACATAGGCAACAAATATCAAATAACTAAATAACAAACAGTGGAAAAACAAATCTGCACTAGACAAGGGGGTGGAAAGATTACAATTTAAACATTCGTTTATAAATTCTCTTCTGGACAATTTCTGTTTCTTCCCCAAACAACCGCCAACCTGTCAAGATGTCAGAGCTGCCACTCGCGCTGGCTGCATTTCTACATTCATCTTATCCCGGACCCGCTTGACTGATCATTGCCTATCCCGCCTCAGTTCCTTCGTCCTTGGCCTCATGTATCACAGTGCATGACCTTTTAAGTCTCCGATCATCCTGGCTTAAGATTCGGCCTTAAGCCCGAGCTATTTACACAACGAATGCTGGTGAAAAACACATCGGCTAGGTAGAAGATGTAAATTGTCTTTGGAATCGTCATGATAGAAGTTGCATCTCGTTGTTTTTTTCTGCTTGACGCAAGTTGCTTTTTTTTTTTAAATACAGTATCTTCCTCTTCTTCTTCTTCTTCTTCTTCTTCTTCTTCTTCTTCTTCCTCACTTCCTCTTTTACCGCTGTGGGTGTCGAGGGAGATATAAGGTTCTGTCTCTAGCTCTTCTGGCCGCCTCGATCATAGGCACATCGTGCTGTTGTAGAGTTTCTCTGATGTTATCCTTACATATGTTCTTGGTCTACCTCGTGCTCTACGTCCTTCTTCTCTTTCCATGTATGCTTTGTATGGTATGGTGTCACAAGGCATTCTCTCTAAGTGGGCAAACCATTTCACTTGTTGTCTTCGTATGTAATTTAGAATTGGTTCTCTGCCGACTTTTTCTCTTATGATCTCATTCCTGATCTGATCTCTTATGGTCACTCCTACAGCCCTTCTCAGACATTTCATCTCCATGGTTACTAATTTTGTTTTATGGTTTGTTGTGAGTGACCATGTCTGGCACTGGTAGCACAGAGTTGGAATAAATATGCTTTGACTAAGATGTCTCTTTGTGCTGATTGGGATTGTCTTATGCTGTAAGAGGGTGGCTAGCTGTCCCAATACTTGATTTGCTTTACTGCATCTAATGTTAATTTCTTTATTCAATTTCCCATCTTCTGTAAATGTAGTTCCCAGATATTTAAACTCAGATACCTGTTTAATGCCTTTGCACTCTATTGCTATGTTTAGTATCAGCTTAAAATAAGTTAATCTCGTCTTTGATATAAGATACGCCTACGCTTTCGTACCAGCTTAGTAGAAGTTACATCTCGTCTTTGGCGTCAGTCTGAGAGTTGTTACATCTCGTCTTTGGTGTCAGTCTGAGAGAAGTTACATCTCGTCTTTGGTGTCAGTCTGAGAGAAGTTACATCTCGTCTTTGGTGTCAGTCTGAGAGAAGTTACATCTCGTCTTTGGTGTCAGTCTGAGAGAAGTTACATCTCGTCTTTGGTGTCAGTCTGAGAGAAGTTACATCTCGTCTTTGGTGTTAGCCTGAGAGAAGTTACATCTCGTCTTTGGTGTTAGCCTGAGAGAAGTTACATCTCGTCTTTGGTGTTAGCCTGAGAGAAGTTACATCTCGTCTTTGGTGTTAGCCTGAGAGAAGTTACATCTCGTCTTTGATGTTAGCCTGAGAGAAGTTACATCTCGTCTTTGGTGTTAGCCTGAGAGAAGTTACATCTCGTCCTCGATAGAAGTTGCGCTACGTTTTATGATATAAGTTAAATATCGTCTTTGGTATCAGCTTGATAGAAGTTAAATTTCATCGTATTTGGTATCAGCTTGATAGAAGTTAAATATCGTCTTTAGTATCAGCTGGATAGCAATTAAATATCGTCTTTGGTATTAGCTTGATAGAAGTTGAAGCTCGTTCTCTGGTATTAGCTTAATAGAAGTTACATCTCATCTTTGGTATCAGCTTGATAGAAGTTAAATATCGTCTTTCGTGTCAGCTTGATAGAAGTTAAATATCGTCTTTGGTATCAGCTTGATATAAGTTGAAGCTCCTTCTTTGGTATTAGCTTGATAGAAGTTACATCCCATCTTTGGTGTCAGCTTGATATAAGTTGAAAATCATCTTTGATATCAGCTTAGTAGAAGTTGAAGCTCGTTCTTTGACATCAGCTTGATAGAAGTTACATCCCATCTTTGGTGTCAGCTTGAATGAAGTTGAAAATCGTCTTTGGTATCAGCTTGATAGAAGTTATATCTCATCTTTGGTGTCAGCTTGATAGAAGTTGAAAATCGTCTTTGGTATGAGCTTGATAGAAGTTACATCTCATCTTTGGTATCAGCTTAATAGAAGTTGAAAATCGTCTTATTTTTAATCAGCTCGATAGAAGTTGAATATTGTCTTTGGTGTCAGCTTGATAGAAGTTACATCTTATCTTCGGTGTCAGCTTGATAGAAGTTACATCTCATCTTTGGTATCAGCTTAATGGAAGTTGAAAATCGTCTTATTTTTAATCAGCTCGATGAAAGTTGAATATCGTCTTTGGTGTCAGCTTGATAGAAGTTACATCTCATCTTCGGTGTCAGCATGATAGAAGTTAAATATCATCGACTTTGGTATCAGCTTGATGGAAGTATCGTCTTTGATACCATCTGATGTAGCTTTACATCTCGCCTTAGGCATGAGCCTGAAAGAAGTATAAAATTATTTAAAAAGCTTAAATTAATGGGATGGTGAACAGCTTTACGAACGGGTTCTTGTCATATAATCCAGGGGGAGCGGGAAGGGGGGTCCTTCCCATATACTCTAGGTGGACCGGGGGGGGGGGGGGGGTTTCCTTGCCATATACTCTAGGGGCGCGGGATCTTGTCAAATACTCTAGGTGGAGGAGGGGATCTTTAGTTCGGCGCGACTTGAAAAACGTTGGAGACCACTGTCTTAGAGATTAAAAATCTGATATATGTGGCTGGCGTCTTGTTCACAATAAACCAGGCGCTACATTAATATGTATTTGATTTCTCCATTTGGTTTAAGTCTTTTCATACAAACAGAAACTCCCCGCGGTTTTAACCTACAAATTTAAAGAGAAAACCCTACCGTGTTAAACGAATAAGCATAATTTTTTTAGGTCCACAGAGACTTTCCGTGGCCAATCAGTGGGTCAGAGCCCACAAGTTGAAGAACTCTGCTTTAAAGGGCGTTACAAACCCACCCCGGCAATTGGTGGTTGTCTGTTGGTTTATAAAGCAGTTTTACGATCAGTATTGGCCAAGGCAATGCACGGGATACAAGTGGCATTCTTGGTAAGAAAGTGCCCGAAGCGGGAGATCTGGCGAGAGACCGAGTTTCTTTCAAGCCAGCTATGATGAGAGCGACGTTCTGCAAATGACCTGCTACGTGAAGATGAGGTTACCAATACTTACTCAACAATCGACGCTAATACCATTGTCCTTTCCAGTAGCATTACCAAACGAAGCCCAGGTTTGTAGACCGTTTGGCTTTACTAGGAAATTGTACTTTGGTCAGCAATGCCCTAACCGGCCGACGATCATACCGTAGTCCTCTTGATAAAAACAAGTGGTTTGAAAGTTCACGAACTCAAAGAAAATGCATTTTGAAGTGGTATCCAGTGTGCAAACGTTCAAGGATAAGAATTCCGAAAGTGAAAAGTAAATAAGATTCTGCTTGTTGACCTATAATTTTAAAAAAAAAAATTGAAAGCCAAACCACTTTGACAATTTCTTCTGCAGCCGATGTTGCACGTGTGTCAATACAAGTAGAAACTTGATCGCGAGTGTGTGGGAGCTGAAAACACTATATATAAGATTTGCATATTAGGAGGAGTTACGTGCCCACTTCATTTTATTTTGGGTGTCTTGTTACCAAGGTCGGCTCTGTGGTTAAGTCGATGCGAACGCGTCGTAATGCCGAGATGCCGGGTTCGATCCCAGCTGCGGGCCATGTGCCTTGCATTGGTTTCGACAGAGGTATCAAGAAAGCCGACCGTCCAGAGGCAATGGCAAACTACTGGACGTAAATTTGCCTAGAAAAACCACACAACAGCCAGGGGCTGTTGGGGTTGGTTCTGCAACGTCCTGTAAAGGATACGTTTTTATAAGGAGTAGAAAATTATAGGGAAGAGAAAAAGTTGGTAAGAAACAACAATTAGTTTATGTTAGCTTTACAAATCGATCACAATAAACAAACAACGGACGTTGCGGCGATTAGCCT